TCTACATTTTCCAACTTAAACAATTTTAACACAACCCATCTACATTAAATTATTTCTCTAGTGTAAAATAACAGCCCATCAGTGAACTCTCTTTGTCATAATAGTGACTTAATTAGTGATCATTTAGATTTTGTGACCTTAAGGGAGCACACAGGTAAATTTGCACAGATTGGGGAACAAACAAAATTTTTTATCTTTCAATCTTAAGTATCTGTGATAAAGAGGGTGGGATGTATCATCCAAAATTTGATTAGTTTACAGTAACATTTTTTTCAAATAGTTCTTCAAGTGAAGGATGTTTAGTTTGTGTGATGTTTTCTGATTCCTCACTTTCTTCTTAGGGCACCTGCAAAGCAAGTTACATTTAGCTTTAGACTTAACTTCTCTTACCTTGTTCTCCAGAAACCGGCACCTGGCTATAGACCTTTGCCTAATGGAATGACAATGATACAGTCAGTGAGCAACTTCTTCACATGTGGCAGGCCTTCATTCTGTGGAACAAAATATTTACACTGTGCTTATGGAGTTTTTTCTACAATCTTGACACATGTATATGAATTGCAGCCTCTTGTTGGAAGGCTTCATCAAATGCAGAAACAGACGCTTTCATGTCCTCTATCTTGTTTAGTACGCTGCTATACAGATAGATAGCATAGCCATTTCTTTTCACATTTGAGGTTGCATCTCGGGCAAAGTTTGCCAGATATAGGTTATAATCTTCAATAGTCACTAAAATTTCGAGAAATTACAAACTGAAATGAAAAAATAATTATAATATAATTAACAACATTTGCAGACCATTTCATTTATTAACAAGTCTATATATTTTATATGATTATATTGTATAGTATAATTATAATTAAAACAACTTTTATATTTTAATTTATATTTAAATTATATTATTATTGACTTTGTTCATTTATTTACAAATTCAAATAACAGTCCAAACAAAAATAAATAATAAATGAATAATAATATTGAATGTAGAATATCTGACAAATCTACAGACAAACATAGTGAGGTGTGCAGAAACCCGTCACACGTGATAATACGAAATTCAATCAGAAATAATATAATATACACACCTGAACTGCAAAATTACCAAAAAGGCAAACCGCCGATACCCTCCTCAGTAAATTAAAAAGTGGAGGTTGCCATTTTGACAACAAAATTACGATACTAGTCGATACCAATTTTTTCTGGTATTTCCGGGGGGGGGGGGGGGGGAGGGGTGTGATTCCGAAGTGCCTACATTCGAATAGAATTTAGTCTCAAGTAAACTTTACAGTAAAGGGACCCAGGTACGCTAGCCACTATTAGGACCCAGGTCCCTTTAGACTTTAGACTAAATGCTATCCGGGTGTCACTTGTGGTTGTTTATTTTAGTTAAACTGAAGAAGTAAGTTTACAAACATATAGTCATTATAGTTATAAAATATAGTATAGTATTATAGTGAATAGATAAGATAGTATAGTAGGGACCTCGGTATGATCCGGGAAGTGCCGAAAACCGGGTATCGTGATTTCGTTGTCAAAATGGCGACCTCCACTTTTTAATTTACCGTGGGTAGTGTTGTTAAAGATTATTTTTGCTAAATTTAGTTTTTTTAATAAATTCTACTTCTGCCCTCAACTTAAAGCAGACATGTTTCTTGTTCATTTGACACTTTCATTTTAGAAAAAATGTGATGGTTTGACTTTGAAAATTAATGGCAAATAATAGCTAAAGTTGACTCATTCATAATTTTTTTGTGGAAAATATAAGTTTAAAAAAAGAAAATACCAATGTTAGATGAAGGCATCATTAACAACATATCCAAAATTCGTGAGGTTAGGACCAGTGCATGGGTGAGAAATTTTTGCACAAAATTTTTGTCACATGTGTCCCAAAATTACCTATTATGGATAATGAACATTTTAGTAGTAAGTAGCTTGATTTACACTGGAAATCCAGCATATTATCCACTAATAATATTTTAAAACAAAGCAAAAATTTAATAGCTCTAATTACTTTTATCTGATGCTTTTATTTTGAGTGGGGAAGTGGGATAAATAGCTCTATCGTTATTGTATGATAAATAATAGTATAAATAATTAAATAAATATATATATATCCATCCATCCTATGAGCCTAGTATAGTATAGCCTATAGTATACCATCCCAACTTATTATTGCAAGACCTATTAATAAACAATTAACTATTATAGTTAATGATATTTTAGGCCATGTAATCATATTTTATTATTTAATGGAAATTATGATGCTTAAATTTTAAAATAAAAATGTTTAAAAAAAATATTCACTTACCTTTGATATTGAAATATCCTGAATTCACCTCACAAATCACAATATTCCACAAGAAACTTATTTAATCCTCAGTATTCTTCAAGAAATAACACACTTTCTGATACAGTAATCCAAGAATTTCTTAAGCTTTTACTAAAGAACAACCATAAAAGCTTGTACTTACCTCAAACAAATGACTTAGAACTTATTTTAATTTCTATCAACAGCCAAAGTTGATACATGTTGATTTGTGAAACAAGATAACTAATTTTTTGGTCATATTCAAATGGGACTAAAATACATACATAGAAAATGGTAAAATAAAAAGTAAAATTTTCAATTTTATATAAATGAATCAAATAATCCCCCTGTTATATTTGTTTATACTGATAAAAGTTAAACAATTCCACAGAAAATGAGAAATTAATATCTAAAGAATATTATTATTATTATGAAATTAGGCAAATTTTAAACTTGTATATTTAAAAAATATTAATTAATTAATACAAGTAAGTGACGAGTCAGCATATTTTATTCATTTTAATAAGGAAAATTATCAAGATTAAAAATATTTTTTTGAGGAATATTAACAAAAACTAAAATTGTATTTTTTGGCTTTATTTAGAAGAACTCATATTTAACTGTGTTCCCTCAAAATATCATATTTTTGTCTCATTTTATAACAAAGTTATAGGCATACAAACAATAGTAAATAGTAATATGAGGGTGAGGAAATGTGGAGGAAAATCCCATAGTGAAAAAGGGGTTTTGAGGTCCATACTAAAAAATTCACAACTTTTGAACCACTTGAGCTAGAAAGTTTATCTTGGTGTTTTTGTAAACCATTATATGTGCTCTATACAGCTGTAGTATTTTTATATTTTTAAAAAATGTTTTGAAATTTTAATCAAAGTGCCTACAACAATAGTTTTAATAATTTTGAATCCCAACTTCTCACGTCCGAAACACGGGTCCGATTTCCACTTCTTCGTAGCTATAAATTAAGTAGCAAGAATGGAAGTAAACTAATTCAGCGGAATAATGATTTTGAGGATACTCACTTCTTGAAATTAGCGTTGCTTTATATTTATGGCTATGGGTTAGACGGGTTTCGTCGATTTTCTGTGGATAAAACGTTGCTGCCGCTCTTTCTCATACCAATGTTTCGGTTTTGTTTTGTTGAATTTGTAAACTTCAGCAGTAGAAAATATTACATAGTATTTTTTTAGACTTTTCGGTTTTTTGTTGTTTTTTTTACATATCCTATTTAATTTTATAATTTTTGTGTTCATCTATCGTGCATTCCCTAAACTTGAAACACACTGATATAATTTTTTTTTTTTTTTACCATTTCAAAACAGGGAAATAGAGTTCAGGTAATTAGAGAGTACAAGATGCTTTTTTGGGATGAGAGCACCAGGGCTTTCAGGCAAGGTGATTGTTTGGGATGATTAACCAGGGCTCACAACAAGAAGATTGTTTGGGATTAGTGCACAATGGCTCTCAGTCAAGATGATAGTTTGGGATGAGAGCCCCATGTCACAGCAAGAGGATTGTTTGGGATGAGTGCATCAGGGCTCACAACAAGATGATTGTTTGGGATGAGAGCATCAGGGCTATCAGTCAAGAAGATTGTTTGGGATGAATGCACCAGGGTTCTAAGTCAAGATCATTGTTTAGGATGAGAGCACCATTGTTCTCAGTCAAGATGATTCTTTGGGATGAGAGCACCATGACTCTCACTCAAGATGATTGTTTGGGAAGAGAGCACCATGACTCTCAGTCAAGATGATTGTTTGTGATGAAAGCGCCATTGCTCACAACACGATGATTGTTTGGGATGAGAGCATCATGGCTCACAACAAGATTCTTGTTTGGGATGAGTGCACCAGGGCTCACAACAAGTTGATTGTTTGGGATGAGAGCATCATGGTTCTTAGTCAAGATAATTCTTTTGGATCAAAACGCCATGGCTTTCAGTCAAGATGACTGCTTGTGATGAAAGCACAATTGCTCACAACACGATGATTGCTTGGGATGAGCTCACCAGGGCTCACAAAAAGATGATTGTTTGGGATTCATGCACCAGGGCTCACAACAAGATGATTGTTTGGGATGAGCTCACCAGGGCTCAAAAAAAGATGATTGTTTGGGATGAGCTCACCAGGGCTCACAAAAAGATGATTGATTAGGATGAGTGCACCAAGGCTCACAAAAAGATGATTGTTTGGGATGAGCGCACCATGGCTCTCAGTCAAGATAATTGTTTTGGATGAATGCACCAGGGCTCACTACAAGATGATTGCTTGGGATGAGAGCCTTATGGGTCTCAGTCAAGATGATGGTTTGGGATGAGTGCATTCTATTAAGCATATTATTATTAACGAAGTGGCTATTGGTACCCGGTTACCAGAAGTGCGAGGTTGGGATTAAAATACTATTAACAATTTTATCGTTTGGTATGTAAGAATTAATGAGGTATCAAATGAAAGATAATTGAATAGACTATATGTTTGTAAACTTAATTCTTCAGTTTAACTAAAATAAACTACCACAAATGACATCCGAAAAGCACCGAGTCAAAATGGACCCAGACACGCAGCGCCTTTTGCACCCGAGTACCATTAGACTTGAGCATTATTAATTATGAATATAGTTAGAATCATTGTATAGCTTTTTTTCGAATGCCAAAAACAATAGTTCATCATGTGACCCCCAACAAAATGGAGGAACGAACCTTATTTTAAAAGAAATATGATTGCAGCCTAGGACTAGTTTATGTCTAGTATTGCAATTTTGAAATAGAAATGGAACAGTCTGTTGAAAGAGATATAATGGCGAATTCTGCATCGAATGATTATTCAAAATATGGAATTAGGGATGTTCCTAAATACACAAAGACAACAGCGCTTGGAAAGGTCTATTATTAGTATTAATAATAATAAATAATTAATATTTATTATTGTTATTATGTATAATGTATATGAATATGGTCAGTTAGTATGGACTTAGTATTAATAATACTTTTAGTCATTAATTATGAAGAATTATTATAAGTATTTGTGTGTGTGATTTCTGCTGCCTGCCTCTACTATTTTGCTCACCTTGCCATTCATTTTTTAAAAATCTTTCATCCCTTTGACTTTGCCTACTAGCTGGTCTTTGTTAAAATTTTTAAAATATTGTATTATTACATTATCATAATTTATCATTTTCAGACCAAAACTTTTGCAGGTCTTTTTGGAAAGGAATGGATATTTCTGATCGTATCAATGATAAATATTTTGACAGCCATTAGCCTGACACTGTACAGGATGATAATAGTAATCAATGAGAAAGATTCTCAGTCCCCAGATTTTACATTCACACTTCTGCTTCTCATAAATTCAGGTAGATAAAATCTTTGTTGTTTATATCTGAAAATTGTGTTTTGAGATTTTAACCAACATTGATCAGCAACCAAGATTGAAAAGTTGCAACACTTTTCTTAAATAAAATAAGTATTCTAGACGTTTCCCTTGTAATGTTTTTTAATAAGCAATTGATGCGATTAAAGAAACATTGCTTTTTCTTGGTTATGGGTGGGTCATTTTAAAGTGTCTTCCTTATTTACAAAAAAATTATACATATTTATCACAATCATTTTTTCAATCAATACCTTTTGTGTGTGCAGGTATTTTTACTATAATTTGGACTAAAGGCATACTTTGTGAAATACTTATGTTTTAGGGCTAAAGGAATGCTGACAACTTGACATTTTGTGGTTCGTCTGGGTGCTATCTTTTGGATAAGCAGTTTTTGCATTGGCTGGGTTCTTTTTTTTTTGACTCTCCCTTAGGATGAATGGGCAGATGAATTTTTTAATGCTCCTCAAATGCTTTAATGCGGTTTACAGGCTTCTGCATTTTTTATGTGCTTCACGGAATAATGAGGGAGCGGATCTTTGAGCTGTATGCCTTTATGGCTGCCATTTTAGTGGTGGTTATGTACTGTGTACTTGAATATTTTGTCTTCAACCCATCTAAGCAGTCCACTGTGAAGTTGGTAAGCATACACATTTAAAAAAATATGCAAAATGTTATCAGAGATGCTTTCTTTTTATGAAGGTTCTTTAAAAATACTGTAAATCAAAACTATTGTGATGTTTAGTATTGAATTTTTCAATACTTTAATTTTTTTTTTTTTTTAAATCTAAATTTTTGAAACTATTTAAGATAAAGAAATAAACACATGAACTTACTATTGAGATCCCCCGGTACTACTTATTTTATTTTTCATATTTATTTAGACCAAAAAATGTCAGTTGTTATCAGAGATGCTTTCTTTTTATGAAGGTTCTTTAAAAATACTGTAAATCAAAACTTTTGTGATGTTCAGTATTGAATTTTTCAATACTTTAATTTTTTTTTTTTTTTTAAATCTAAATTTTTGAAACTATTTAAGATAAAGAAATAAACACATGAACTTACTATTGAGATCCCCCGGTACTACTTATTTTATTTTTCATATTTATTTAGACCAAGAAATGTCAGTGCGCAAAGTCGACTGATTTCATAGTAAAGAACTTCTTGACTATATTCACAAATTGTAATTTTTTGGGCACTACATCATGAATTTTATGTGAAATCATATCTTTTATGTGCATCAATATATATTATCTTTATGCCAATGATCTCACCAGGTGAGACTTGTCTTGGCATGTGTTCTTGCTCCACCCAATATTGCCCTAGCTTACTTTGTGTCCAAAAACTTTGGTTACTTGGAATTTCGAATTGTGGGCGCCTCTCCTCATTTGCAACGTAAGGAACGTAAGAAACTATATTTATAATTGCTGAATTAGAATCTTTGTTCTCCTATCAAAATTTCAATTTCATTGACAAAGGACATTATGTATACTTTTATTATTAAGTTTACAAGTTTCCACTTTTGGCTTTCAGGATTGTACAGACAAGCTGGACTGTTTTCTTGTCTCCTCAAGTTTGATTTGCAAGCTGCTGTAAGTCCACAGCTTTAAATGGGCACTTAAGAAAGAAATTTGATTTTGGGTTTTGGGGATCTTAATTTTTTTTGCTGGGTTCTTTCACTGAATAGAGCTTCTAGGCATAAAGCAACCCCACTGCATTTTCACTCTTTTGATCAGAGAAAACCTTAAACGATAATCCAATAAATCATGCTCCAAGTTTGATTGTATGATGAAAGTTATTGCCAAGAAATCATAAGCTAAAAGCCCCTGTACCGGTAACTAATTTCTAAAGTCGTCATGGTAATGAGTGTAACAGTGAGACAATTTATAATAAATCAAACCAGAGCTGCAACTGTTTCCTATTACCATAAAGGGATCTTTGAGGTATGTTAAAATAGTTAAGTTTGGGTCTATCTTTAACTATAAGTTTTATTCTTTAAAGTTAGAGGGACATTGACCATTTTCATACCTTGGCCGCCTTTAGCAAACTGGACAATACCGGGCTTTGGCCGTATCAAATACCTGTGCAGCATAAAAATGTGTATATGTTAAGTTGTAGGACAGTCAAATGCTATGCACTTATTTTGACATTCATGCTTTGTTCTAATGTATGTTTAATTACTGACTAACAGTGCAGCATAGTGATTCTGGCACTTAAAGATGGCACAAAGGTCTCCCTGCTGGAAACAGTTTCTCTTGCTATTGGCATTCCTTATTCTCTCTTTTGGTGTTTACTGGGCTGGGTCTCAGTAAGTATTTACCAAATATTTTATAGTGTCACAAATGTGCACATAAACGGTAGTCTATTTCAACATCAGATAATTTGTTAAGTTTGATTAAAGTTTAAAGCTAGAACCATTTGTTTCTGGTAAAGTGTAAAATTAAATATTATAAACTCAATACCCAGTACCTACAATTGTAAACTTTAAGCTAGTGACTCTATAAAATTTACCCCCCCCCCCATTTTTTTTTTTCTGTTATTACAGCTTAAACGAGAACTTAAGTCAGGAGCTGTTGTCTTTGCTATATTTGGACTCATCAAGCCATGCTATTACTTATTTAAAATCATTCGTGTAAGTTAATGACTGAAAGTCTTAGTAGTTATTTGAATAATTGTGACATACTTTCATTAATTGCCATATGACTTTTATTTTTTTTTTAAGTACAAAATAAATATCTGAATCCAATATGATTCATTTCTTATTTTGCTTTAAAACCAGAAATGTAGGACATTTTTACACTTCATATATATTTTTTTCTATTAATCTTGAAGTGAAGTGTGAAATGCATTTTATGAAAAAAAATTTGAGAAACTAATCAAACAAAATAAAAGGCGATGAAAAGAAATGAACCCCCAACAAAGAATCAAACAAGGTGTCTAACATGTGACAAGCAGCTGCTTTAATGGATGATACTTTTATCAGATATGGAACTAGTTATGATGCAATGTGCTTAGGGGAAACCATAACTTTTATCTCTGATAATACTACCTTGATTAAATGATGCCACATACTTTGGTTTAAATTACCTTCTAGATTAAAAATTTTTTTTTTTTACGTCACTGTTAAACCATGGGAATATGCCATAGATTTTTTAGAGCCATGGGAACATTGCTGTTGATTTTCAAAAAAAAAAAATACTTTTCTGTAGGAGTATATTGAGCTGAAGGATGAGAAGGTACCAACAAAGGACAGCATTGTCTACTCCCTGATAGCTGCTGGTGAGTCAAAAAAAAAAATTGTTTGTACAAAAGTAATTATAACAACTAGGTTAATTTGTTTGAATTAAACTAGATCAAATAAATTAAATATGACCAAGATAAAACTGTCTGTGATATGAAAATAAACAGTGTAGGGGCCACGAGAGAAACTTTCATAAGCAGACTCATGATTAAGGGAAATCAAAACATTAAAATTTAGGCAAAATTATTCAAATTGTTCGAATATATATTTGTTGATGCAATGAAACTGTTGAATATCAACACAGCCAATTAATTTGTTCTTCTCTTGTTCTTTTTGGGGTATTCTTTTTTTTACTTTGCTCTGTTGTCCAGAGATGAATCCTTCATGTATACAATTTCATTATCTTTTAGCAATTGGTTGCATCATTCAATAAATCTTTTCTCTAGTTTAATTTAACTTCCCACCCCCCCCCCCCACCCCCTTTGTAAGATATTTCCATTGGCTAAATCTATTGCGCTTATCTGTAATTTTATTTTTTATAGAGATGAATCCTTCATGTATACAATTTCATTATCTTTTAGCAATTGGTTGCATCATTCAATAAATCTTTTCTCTAGTTTAATTTAACTTCACACCCCCCCCCCCCACCCCCTTTGTAAGATATTTCCATTGGCTAAATCTATTGCGCTTATCTGTAATTTTATTTTTTAATATTTAAAAAAAAGTTCTAATATGTTATTTTAAACATATATTTCCCTTTCTTCTTTTGTCCTCCAGTTTCACTTGGATTGCTGGTCTGGTTCATGTTGATGATCGAACTTGTGTTCGTGTATAAAAACTTTGATCAGGGCTTACAAGAAAGAAGTATGTATTAAATTCATTAGGGAGGAAATAGAAAAATTTCAAGGGCCCGGAAAGTTTGGGAAAGTTGGCAAAAAACTTCATAATCCTTGAAAGTTTTGGAAAATTGATTAAAAAGAAAGAAGAAAAAGGCCAAAAATAAAATTTGAATGAAAAAAGGGATGTTTCCATTTAAATTTAACTAACATTGCGCAGTGCGCATTTCATAATGATTGTTAAAGAAATTTGTTAATTGTTCAGTAAATGTTTTTAAGCAAATCAAATTAATCTTAACAAATGAGCACCTCTTTTTGACTAGGCAGTTATATCGCCATGGCCAGGCAACAGTAGAAAGATGTTCTCTGTGAATAAAGAGGTCACTGTGAAAAATTTAAACACTTATAGTCTCTGTGCTCAAAGACTGATAACTAATCAAGTCAAAAGAGCAGGGGAACCCCATAGCAAAAACTGTTGAAGCAGATGTAGCCAGTCTAGTTACATTAGCCAACAGCAAAAGGGAGGTCACCAGTTCAAAAAAAAAAAAAAAAAGGAAATCGAGCTAAACACTATTTTTTTTAAAAAAAGACACTGGATACAACTGCGCAGCCAGTACATTTTAAAATATTATTCTATGAAGTTTCCCTATTAGTCTGTGCCTTATGACCGATCATGATACTATGTTTCAAATATTAGCCTAAACAACAAATTATGCTTGGACACTAAGCTGAATCGAATGTATATAACATTGTAAATAATTTTGTGTTATATCTCTAAGGGATAAGCTACCTTTACAAGGATAAGCTGGCTATTAATTTTATTTATATATTGTGTATATACTTTAAGTGTGATAAAGAATTTTGTATCTATGTTAGGTGAGTTGTTGTTTTTTTCTATAAAAAATAAAATGGTAATAAATAGGTGTTTGAATTTTAAAAAAATGGTCTTTGAAGGTTTTGGAAACGTCTGTCAGTTCTGGACCTTTAAGTCTGTACTTACTTACTGTAGCTTACTTTTTTCTTTTGGATTTGTTTTCTCAATGTATTTATTCATTTATTTGTTTTATTTTTAGGTAAATCCTGCTATGCTGTACTTCCAATAATTAAAAAGTCTTTAATTACTCTGTTTTAATTTTTTTTTTAATTATCCAAAAGAACTAAAATAATTATCATTATTTTAAAATTGCCACTACTTAATTGCAAACATGAAATTTATCCCAGTCAATGCAAAAGTAACAATGAAATTTGAACAGATGCTTGGATATACTGGCACTGTAACATCATTGTATTTGCATTATATTTTTGTTTTGTTATAAAAATAATTTTTTGAAAGATAATTGGAAATGCGGTTCTGAAAGTTTCATAAGAGATCTCACAATTTAGAAGTAGACTAAAGAATATCTTTTCCAACCTACAGCACGCCTGTTTGCCAGTGAGACCTCAAGATTGTTGGGTGAAAAAAGATGGAGTGCAAGGGGAGAAAATTCAAATTTGTGACCTGCAAATTCCGGCCACAGTAAAACTGGGAAAGAAAAATTGTCAGAGAAATTTGTTTGTACCTGTATTTTCAAATTATTGAAACTAAATATGGTGGACAGGTTAAGTATCTGTTTTAGTCTTGTGTATGTTTGTTAGTAATTTTTTAAACCATGTTCAGAACTTACATTAAAAATGTCTAATTGTTTTAATTTTGTCACTGCCCTTTTTTCCCAGCAATGTTTGAATGAAAATGTTTTTTTTTTCTAATATTGTAAAAAATATTAACACATTAGTGTTATTAGTTTTTGGTTAATGAATTTCATCATAAAATTATAAGATTATCTTCTTAGTTATTCAACTCCTAAATTAAAGTCATTTTATATTAAAAGGCAGGTTTAATTGTAAATAAATGTATCATTATTGCATCAATTTCCCGAAATGAATTTTAAGGTTTTAAGAAGTCTTACTGTCATAATTAAACAAATCTAATCAAGGGAAAATGAGCGTATTTAAGTTGAGCAGACATAGTTATCACATGGGATCAGAGAAAGTTAGAAGAAAATGAAAAATTATGGGACGATAAATAAAAAAGGCCAGTGAAAGATGTTCATAAATAATTTTTTTTTGAACAAGTCTATTTTAGTTTCTCCAACCATCCATAAGAGGTATTTACTCAGTTGTGAACCTGCCTCTTCATAAGATGGATAAGTTTTTATTATTTTAATTTTCTGATTCATTATGCTAAGCAAAATACTTATGCATTTACGTTTTTCTTGAAATTAACGGTCTTTCACTTGTGCAACGAAGTCATGTTGTATTTTTTTTGTTTTGTTTGCAAATTTTAGTTTTTTTAAAAGCCAAAAGCTTTGCTCTTTGTGATTATGTTGAATGTAAATTGGTATTTTAATTGTTTACACCTAAAACATTCAAACTATTAAAAATTTTCTGTGGAATCTACTTATGCAGTAGCAAAATAAATTAAATTTTTTATTATTCAAGCCTGCTGCTGTCTTAACTGAAAGCAGAAATTTTAGCAGTAATTCTGTTAAAAAATGATGTTATTTTAACTATGCTCTTAGAGTGCCCTTTAATGTATGTTTTTTTTTTTTTTAAAAGGTCTAATTTTTTTTTTTTTTTTAAATTCTTTAATTGTATAAAACTGTTTCTTTTACAATTTCAGGCTGTTTACTGTTAACTTTTAAAACGGAAATGGTGATGATTTTAAGCAACAATATACTCAGTTTTTTAATTTTTTTTTTTTTTTTTTTTTTAAAAGGTCTAATTTTTTTTTTTTTTTAAATTCTATAATTGTATAAAACTGTTTCTCTTACAAATTCAGGCTGTCTACTGTTAACTTTTAAAACGGAAATGGTGATGACTTTAAGCAACAATATACTCAGTTTTTTAAAATAATATTGGTGCCATTGGTATTTTTATAGCATTGTATATTTCATGTTATATTCCTTGATCTTTGATTGTGTTATCTTTGCTCTTGTAAGTGCAGGTGGGATCTGTAACTTCAAAAGTGTATTCCCAAATGTGTCAAGCAGAATTTTTTCTCTCTCACGAAATTTAGAAACAAATGCTTCTGTTATAACCAGCATATTATGTAGTTCTCTAACTGGCCAGTTTCACCCTGTCACTTCATTGCGTTGCAGAATTTTTTGAAATTCTCAGTTGGGTATGGGTTTTCCCTCATGATTATACAAAGCATGAGTTACAACATTGTTATATATTCAACTGCTCAATGTAAATAGTGAAAACCAGTGCTGCTAAATATGTTTAAATGTCTCTTCATTTAAATACAATTTTTACCATTTTGTAAGTAAGGAGCCCTCTTGTCACTGGATAATTTTTCAGGATGATAAAAAATAATTCTAATGACAGGCGCATGAGAAAATTTGTCACAAGGGATGCACCACATCTTCATGTCTTTATTTAGCGTCCTCCCAATATGTAACACAAATCACTTCATTGTAGGGGTGGGGGGGGGGGGGGGGGGGGGGTTGGGTGTGCGTGTGAGAATGAAACTTTATTCTTCAATAGTGATTGATTGATGAGCTGATGTTTCTAATTTGGCAAAAAAAAATTCTTTAATAATTCATATGTCCCTAGTCATTTATTTAATGTTTTATAGACAATTTCTTATCAAGAGACATTTAAAGGCAGCTATTTTTCTTCTTTAGAATTCCCTTTTGACATGACAGTAAAAAAAAATATTTTTCGGACATAGCAGTTTGGTGAACTTTCCTATATTATGTCAACTTGATTTTAAAATGTATCTCCAAATCAATGTGTAGTTTGGAGAGTAAATTGTTACTTTACAAGGCATATTTACAAGTAACTTGTTTTGAAATATTTGAACCATACGTATAAAAAATATGGATGACACCAGACTTTCAAAACATAATTAATGATTTTGGAAAGATAATGCCCCCTTTTTCATTGCATTTAATTTGCCATTATTCATTTTGCAGTTGTTGCCATATTGGTTACCATAATAAATTGGTGACTTAGTTTATTTTCGTATAATCAGCCTACTAACCATAAATATAGGTTTGTCGTGTTTGAAGCTGTTTATTCATCAATTCAGTATTTGTATCAACTATGTGGTACACAGGTTGGCTTGTAAGGCTATGAAAAATATGGCATGGTTCAATTTTACTAGACAGATATAAATGATGTCTGGCAATAGCATACAAAAAGCCACCTGATGATGACAATTGGTCTGATATCATTTCATCTGACTTACATGTTCTACTCTTGATTTACTTATCTTCTTAACACTAAATGTTTAAATATAACTAAATAGTTTCAGATTTGAAACTTAGAATGTATCATTCGGGCCACTAATGGTTTAAACTACTAATTAAAGACAAAACCACCAGTAGGATTATTTTAAAATATTAAAGTCTAAAATGGAAAAATGCTTGTACTGTAATTCACTGCATTGTGAAGGAGTAGGTTAAGAACATATTCTATTTAAATTTGTAAGGGAAGTTTTAAAACAAAAGAAACCACACAAAAACTAAAGATAAATTTTGCCAAAGTTAAAGAGCATTAAGGTAATTGATCAAACAAACCTATTTGGATGCATTAATAAAATAAGCTTACATACTTTTAAAAATCATGTTCTTTTTAACCGCAAGTGATAATGTATGTATAGATTTGATTATTATTTGTAATAGATGTTCATAATGTAAATGGATCTTGAGGGCTTTGAAATCATTTAATATGAAAAAAACATGAAACTTGCTTATTCAAAAGCAATCAGAATTTTTCTCACATGCAAAAATGCAATGGATTTGTTTATCATTTTAAACATAAAAGGTATGATTTTATTCAATCATTCTACTATTTCTCATTCTAATATTTCAACAAATTTTTTTTTGTCCTGTAAAAAACCCCAACTCAAACTGTGTTAATTTTGTTTTTATGTAATAAGACACCAATGCTCTGCATTTATCTCAGTATTTTTTTAAAACATTTTTTATTTTTATACTATCATGTGATCAATAATAAACATGAGTAAATTTAAAAAAATATATTTTATAGATTTTTAAAAATAAATTAAGCATATGTGTTTGGGAAACAATTGTTAATTTGGCGAAGATTAAATTTAAAAAAATAAAGCGATACACATTTTCAGGAACAATGACATACTAAAATTGTTTACTTGTTTTAGTAATATGATGCCTGCTGATTGGCTTGTTAATATTAAGAAGTCAAAAAAATTTTCAAGATGAAATTGAGTTTAAAAGTATACATTTTAATTTAAAAAAACAGATGAAGGAGAAAACATGCTATGTGATTTCCTTTTTACTTTAAATTATTTCATCAGACTAAAGACTTTAAAAAATATCAGCTCTATAATAAATGGTTATTTTATTTGTAAGCAAACATGATATTAATACATTGGTTTAGTAAATTTACGATGCAACCCATGTGACGAGATTTCTTTGTTGAATCTAGAATGGTTCTTATTAAAACTATTTCATTAATATTTTTTTTTGCACTTTTTAAAAAAGGAAAGAAAAGTTGAAGTAAATCCATTAGTTATAAACTAATCATAAAAAAATACAGTGGCTTATATAATTTATAATTGTTACTCATTGTATTATGTGTAAAGACAGTGGCGTAGGAAGGGTGGGGCAGAGGGGGCATTTATGGAGGGGTTGCATTTTCTGCCTATTACAGATTTTTTTCTCCTAGAAGGGGGGGGGAGGGGGAACGTAAAATTTCTTGGCACACCCCGGCAGCACAAACCATAGCTATGCCACTGGTTACAGACAAACAAAAACTCTTCCAGAATACATTATCCTACTGAATTGTGAAGTTATGCATTTTAAGAAAATGGGCCAGCTTTAAAGAAAGTATTTAGAAATAAATATGTTGCAGTTAGTACCGGTAGTACAATTAAATACTCTGGCTAAAATAATATTTAGTGGTGCATCCATCCACAGTAAAATTCATTAATTTTCTAAATACAAACATAAAATATTTTGGTCCCAAATCTTAACACCAAGTTTTAAAAAAGGGGTAGTTAACTAAATAAACAAACAAAAGCAAACACAATATTTTAAACATAAAATTAACAGTTCAACTACTTCACAAGATGACAGAAATAAAGATCTGTGAACTTTCTTACGTGTATCCATTTCATCGCCACTCTTTAACATTTTTATTCTAAAGCGTTCATGTCAATATTAGCGATTCACACACAACATCATCATCATCAGTTGGTCAATGGCTCATGTGCCGCCATGTTGCCACCTCTGTTGTTTATGTAGTTGAAGATGGTATGTGATTTTTTTCAAATCAAGATACAAGCACAGTCTGGTAATATTTCAACCACTTGAAAGTTTTAAAAAATATGTGTCATAAATACTCTAAATATTTAATAATATAGTTTGTAAGGACTAGGTAAGCATAACATGAGTATGTATAATATTTGACAAGTATAAAACAATTAAATGTCATCATACTTTTCCCAAATAGTGTAGAAGGAATAATACAATAAAAAGGATTTCAGGGGTTGTAACCAGAGAAAATAAAGTACTTTGTCTGATCTTCATGAGCTCCCTTTTCTGAAGGTAAAAATAAAACTCCCAACTATTTCAGTTTTTAAAATAGATGATTGAAATATTTTATCATAATTTTTTAAAAATTTTTCAAGACACAAAAATCAACTGCCAGTTACAACATTTTTTTAAAAGATTGCAAAGGAAAACTCTTTTTAAAAGTTACATGAGGAAAGCTAATTCAAATTCAATGCACAATTTTCAAAACAGGATTGTCTCTTGGCAGCTTCCTACACAGCTACATAACTAAATGTCTGCAACTAAAAGCTTTTGTAAATATTTGATAAGAGTTTAAGTGTAGCTAGCAATAAACCGGCTTTAACTTTCTTTTTAGACAGAAAAACACAACACATTTAGAGGTTTTAATTATTCATGGTGCTTTAGCAAAGTGATCCAAAGGCTCTTAACGCTGCTTTGAAGTTGATACCAACACTGCTTCTAAACAAGTTATCAAGCAGCACAAGTGACACCTTTTTTTGTGTGAAAATAGATAAAGCTTAAAATCTGATTAAAAAAACTGGGCCAGCTGGGGTTGGATTGCGATAAGATGATCTCATAAATTATTATTACTATAGTTTACAATAGGGAACTTGGGCTGACTGGGATTAACATGTGTAAGTCAGTAACAATATATAATAATATAATATGAATTCATTGAAATATTTTAAAAGCTACTTTAGATATACTCAGTTTGGTTCAACCAATAGCTGTTAACCTGGTTCTGTAGGATCAGGTCAATGTGGCCTTGGGAGGGGTTCTCCGAATTTGCTGACATGAGCCGCACTCTTGATGGCATGGAGCACCTGGTGGGAACAATGGCAGATACAAATTACAATAAGGATCAAGCTTTTCGAATATTATGCAAGGGCTGACATGCAATCAATATCTCAGTTTCAAAATTAAATCAATATCTCAGCTGTGACATTCAATCAATATCTCTGTTCTAACACTCAATTCTATCATTCAATCAATATCTCAGCTCTTACATTCAATAAATATCTCATTTCTATTATCAGTCAATATCTCAGTCCTAACAATCAATTCTAATAATTCAATCAATATCTTAATTCTAAAATTCAATCAATATCTCAGTCCCAACAATCAATTCTAACAATTCAATCAATATCTCAGTTCTAGCATTCAATCAATATCTCAGTTCTAACATTCAATTCTAACATTCAATCAATATCTCAGTTCTAACATTCAATCAATATCTCAGTTCTAGCATTCAATCAATATCTCAGTTCTAACATTCAATTCTAACATTCAATCAATATCTCAGTTCTAACATTCAACATTCAATCAATATCTCAGTTCTAACATTCAATCAATATCTCAGTTCTAACATTCAATTCTAACATTCAATCAATATCTCAGTTCTAACATTCAATCAATATCTCAGTTCTAACATTCAATCAATATCTCAGTTCTAACATTCAATCAATATCTCAGTTCTAACATTCAATCAATATTAACACCCCTGACATCTCCCTGTAACATTTGTGTCAATGAAGGTGAGAGACAAGCATACCTCATTGTCCACATAATTGTCACAGGTGTAACACCAGATACTGAGGTCAGAGAAACTAAGGGCCATGCTGTGGTCAGTCTGAAGCTTGTGGTGCAGCATGTGCTCGTTAACAAATCTACTGCATTCAACCTGGATTGAGGGCAACCATATTTAAAGTCAATGGGCATCTGAAGAACAACAACATACATGGGCACCTTCATCTAATGCTATTTAGAGCAGAGATCCCACACAATTTGGCCCACGTTCCAACAGATTAGACATATTCCACTTAATATGTCCTACCTTGCAACAAATTAGACACATCCCACTCAATATGTCCCACCTTGCAACAGATCCCACTAAACATGACCCACCTTGCAACAGATTAGACATATCCCACTTAATATGTCTTACCTTGCAACAGATCCCACTAAACATGACCCACCTTGTAACAGATTAGACACATCCCACTCAATATGTCCCACCTTGCAACAGATCCCACTAAACATGACCCACCTTGCAACAGATTAGACATATCCCACTTAATATGTCTTACCTTGCAACAGATCCCACTAAACATGACCCACCTTGTAACAGATTAGACACATCCCACTCAATATGTCCCACCTTGCAACAGATCCCACTAAACATGACCCACCTTGCAACAGATTAGATATATCCCACTTAATATGTCCCACCTTGCAAAGATCCCAATAAACATGACCCACCTTGCAACAGATTAGACATATCCCACTAAACACGACCCACCTTCCAACAGATTAGACATATCCCACTTAATATGTCCCACCTTGCAACAGATCCCACTAAACATGACCCACCTTGCAACAGATTAGACATATCCCACTAAACACGACCCAGCTTGTCACAGATTAGACTCACCCCATTCAATATGTCCCACCTTACTACAGATGAGACAAATCCCACTCATTATGACCCACCTTGTAACAGGTCAGACAAATCCAGTTCTCGGTGGTGTCCCCGCAAGTGCTGCAAGGGGCGTAGGTATTGATGCGTGCCGAGGTCATGGGCGTGACCTCAGACAGATGAGGGCACCATGGCAGTGGCTGGACGGCGTACATTTGATCCACACCCTGAAAATAACAAACCCGTCATTAAACATTCTTAAGCCTCCCATTTATCGGTTAGGCGAACTGAGAGATGTCGGAGATGTCTGAACTGAGACACAAAGAAGATAGAGCATTTTGTGATATTCATAAGCCTCCCATTTATCGGTTAGGCGAACTGAGAGATGTCGGAGATGTCTGAACCGAGACACAAAGAAGATAGAGCATTTTGTGATATTATATTAGGCATTGTTAATCGATATCAATATGAGTCAACTATGCCTTTTGAGACCCCTTGGCCCAATAGTTTTTACTAATATATATATCAATGAAATGATGTCAATAGAGTGTGGTACAATATAATGATCTATGTCAATGAAATGTGGTATAATATAATGATCTATGTCAATGAAATGTGGTACAATATAATGATCTATGTCAAAGTGTGGTATAATATAATGATCTATGACAATAAAATGTGGTACAATATAATGATCTATGTCAATAAAGGTTGGTACAATAATGATAAATCTAGGCTGGACACTGTAATATTCACAGCACACTGTGGTATCTAGGTCATTTCGATACAGGTGTATCAGGTTCGATAACCAGAGCCTTATGTTGGGTTGGAGGTTATCAAGACGGTCATATTAGAAACGGAATACTCAGAACAGCCATTTTGAACGGGCCCTTGATACGTTTTTTCATTATGTTGATCAGCCGCGTTATCAAACTACTACTACTGCACACGCACTGACAATCGCGCGCCCATTGTATTCGCATTGCAACGCACGTGGTTCGGATGCGAACGCAGGCTCAACCAAAGGTATGACATGGTGCTCCAGAGCGCGATGGGAGTTATTTTTAAATATTGCACTTCAACAAAAGACCCCGTTATCATTTTCAATGATTCATTTAGCATTCGTCTATTTGCCGACACCTTAAATATTCCTACTATCTTGAAGGTTTCCAGGTCAAATTTATTATGGGCCTGACTGAAGGGCCATAAATAGGATATAATAAAGGTGCAATGCCCAGGCATTCCTTTTGCTGTCCTCTCAGAACCTACATAACAGCTGAGTGCTAATTTTAATTATGATATTGTTTTTTTTTTCACTGTTGTTTGTTGGCCGACGATGGCTTCTTGCCGGCACGTTCGTTGTTTTGTTGCGTCCTTTTTTCTTTTCCATTCAGGTTTTCCATACTTTCACCATTTCCTTGATTGAATGGTCGCACGAACTTAAAAGAGGAACTCAAGACAGTGGCAGAGTTTGACACTTATTGCCATAGCGTCCTTCAAGAGACATCATCAAATATGCCATAGTAGTAATAGCTTTGGCGGGCGTAAGCTTTTGTAGCGGCGCTATGGAAAAAAAAAACACACACACACACAAACATGAGTCTTAATAATTACAAGCCCTACCTGTCGGCATTTAAACAATGAACCTACAGACAGTGCCACACCTACCAGCCGGCTTTTACGCAATAGTCTTACAGACAGTCCTACATAGTAATATGGCTTTCAATTTTTAAAAATTTAAGTTAACTAACTTTTTTTTTTTAAACCAGTCTAAAAGAGGAGCCGGTATATTTAAAAAGGACCATAACGTTACTAAAAAGTGATAGATATATATACATACATACATATATTAATAAGAATAAAAATGAATCGCTAATCGAATGAAGAAGTAAGTTCATTTACGCTCCACAGACTGCGGGCCACAAAATGAAACGCGACGGGCCGCATGCGTCCCGCGGGTCGACCACCCCAAAACTAAACAGATACTTAAAAAAACAAAAAAAAACCCCATATGAGTTCGTAAAGTAACAAGTGCACCAATTCGTCATTATAAAGACAGAAGGTGATACAACAGAATAATCCGGATATGTCATCCATGATCAGACTGTGAACGTGCCTCCCCATCAACGAGTCCCAGGTGTTAAAAATAAAATAAACGTGGAAGTTCAAGGCAGTGTTGGATATTAAGGTTGTTTTAGACAAAATTTGAGACGCCCGGCCCAAAATCCCACGGAATTTGGTTATGTTGCGCTTTTTGTTGTTGTTGACATTTCACTTTAACAATCACTAAGACATGAGCTTGATACCTCATAATGTCAACACTAACATATCTTAAGAAGCATTGTAACGAGAGTCAAAGGAATGATTAGACAGAACACCTCTAGACTGACATATCTACCGATATCACCTCACGACCTCTAGACTGACATATCTACCGATATCACCTCACTATATCTCTTGACGCACTCGGAAACTCGGACAGGGCCACGGGCTTGTTTTAATACAACCATGGCACCCGGTCACATAAAACAATCGCGACAATTTAAGAAGCCCTGTAATTATGGACCAATGAATGCTGAGATATAACGCTAACACATTAACATACACACTGATATCTTTACAGCGATCTGATTTATTGGTCACGTGTTTACATCGCTGTACCCTTTCGATGATACCGAAACAGCGACACACCGAGAGCTCGTACTTCCACCAACTTTACGACAATAAACAAAAGTAATTTAAAATGCCTACAGTCGATTAGAAGGGAATAAAGGATTTCAAGGGATCTTTCTTCACGGGTATTGAAAAGGAAGACATTTTTTATTTGAAAATACGGACAACATGGGTTCGAGAGTCATGGATCTTACAACAGTCTGCCATGTTGTGACCACCATGACAGTTGTCCTTCTCGCTGTGGCGGTGACGTCATTTGGTCTCCCCGTCAATAAGAATGGGGTTATTGCCGTCGTCTCGTCACCGTGGGGGTCCATGACGTCGCCCTCGACGTTGACCCAAGAGTTCCCCCGCGGTGAAGGCGTCGTAGAGGAGGACAACGATGATGATGTCATAACGACCGGAGACGAGGATTTTTCCGTACATCGTAATGCCGTGAGGAACAGGACGAGACGGTGGCCCGGGGGCATAGTTCCCTACGTCATAGACAAGGCGTACCCAGATGGTGAGTTGTGTGAATAGACTATCCATGTCCTATAGACAAGGCGTAACCAGATGGTGAGTTGTGCGAATAGTCTACCCATGACCTATAGCCAAGGCGTACCCAGATGTTGAGTTGTGCGAATAGTCTACCCATGCCATATAGACAAAGCGTACCCCGATGTTGACTTGTGCGAATAGTCTACCCATGTCCTATAGACAAGGCGTACCCAGATGTTGAGTTGTGCGAATAGTATACTCATGTCCTATAGACAAGGCGTACCGAGATGGTGAGTTGTGCGAATAGTCTACCCTTGTCCTATAGACAAGGCGTACCCAGGTGAGGTGGTGAGTTGTGCGAATAGTATACCCATGTCCTATAAACAAGGCGTACCCAGATGGTGAGTTGTGCGAATAGTCAACCCATGTCCTATAGAAAAAGCGTACCCCGATGGTGAGTAGTGCGAAAGTCTACCCATGTTCTATAGACAAGGCGTACCCAGATGGTGAGTAGTGTGAATAGTCTACCCATGTCCTGTTGACAAGGCGTACCCAGTGTGTGACTTGAGTGAACAGTCTACCCATGTCCCTTTGACAACTCGTACATAGATGGTGAGTTGCGTGAATAGTCTACCCATGTCCTGTAGACAAGGCGTATCCAGATGGTGATAGTCTAACCATGTCATAGAGTCACTGCACTGTAAATTTACATAACGTTACCCAATTCCCAAGTTCATACGCTTCTTGTTATTTTATTATATAAACTTAACATCTTGTATTTGTATCTCCCATCACATAGTTATTTCATTTGGGATAGCGCTGAGGCAAGTGACCAGAAAGTTACTTTTAAATTTTAAACCATCACCTTCCTACAACTAAGAATCACCATATGGTGGTATAACATAAAATCGGACTGGGGGGGGGGGGAGAGAAGAGATTAGTTGTAAAATACAAAAGATAATGATGTATAATAAATATGATCTAAAAGCGTTTAAATAAACTTGTGGATTTGGTGCCAATCTTTTCTTTAAAAAATAATCAAAGCTCCATCTGATAGCCGCCAGGGCCAGCATATTGGAAGCGTTGGCTGAGATCGAGGCAGACGTGGCCAGTAACGGCTCAAAGTGCATTCAGTTCGTGAACAGAACCACAGAGGCAAACTACCTGGAGATCAGCCTTGGGGTCGGTTGCCACTCTTATATTGGATTCACCGAGAGGTAAGTCCCGCATTAGCCTTGTGGACGGGTGCCACTCGTATATTGGATTCACCGAGAGGTAAGTCCCGCATTAGCCTTGTGGACGGGTGCCACTCGTATATTGGATTCACCGAGAGGTAAGTCCCGCATTAGCCTTGTGGACGGGTGCCACTCGTATATTGGATTCACCGAGAGGTAAGTCCCGCATTAGCCTTGTGGACGGGTGCCACTCGTATATTGGATTCACCGAGAGGTAAGTCCCGCATTAGCCTTGTGGACGGGTGCCACTCGTATATTGGATTCACCGAGAGGTAAGTCCCGCATTAGCCTTGTGGACGGGTGCCACTCGTATATTGGATTCACCGAGAGGTAAGTCCCGCATTAGCCTTGTGGACGGGTGCCACTCGTATATTGGATTCACCGAGAGGTAAGTCCCGCATTAGCCTTGTGGACGGGTGCCACTCGTATATTGGATTCACCGAGAGGTAAGTCCCGCATTAGCCTTGTGGACGGGTGCCACTCGTATATTGGATTCACCGAGAGGTAAGTCCCGCATTAGCCTTGTGGACGGGTGCCACTCGTATATTGGATTCACCGAGAGGTAAGTCCCGCATTAGCCTTGTGGACGGGTGCCACTCGTATATTGGATTCACCGAGAGCTAAGTCCGGCGCAGTTAACAGTTTCTGAATGCATACATCGGCAATCGAATGGCTACATTTCTTGTAATCAACAACACAAATAATTGCACCAGTAATCGAATGGTTAGAGTTTCAGTAATCGCCAAGTTCACTAGCCTCTAACTTTGCAACATGCCAAAGACTCGTTAGCTCCAATTGTTAACCATCGAACAAATGTCAGCGTCCAATTTCCACAAATCGTGCTGCTCGCGCCTCTCACATCTCCACGTCAACCGAGTATAGATTGACGAACAAACGCCACCAAATAAACGGAACCAGTCCACCAACTGTTCCACACGGCAGCTGTCTCCACAACAAGCTAGTTGTTAGCCGAGGTTACAGACTAATCATGGGTCTTATTTCTTCAATTGGCTGCTGACACTAACGTAGAGTAGGTCATCGCAGAGACCGTGAATATTTGAATTACCAAATAGTAAGAACGAATAAATCTGATGGGTAAAAAAATTACACAAGTCATCTTATACAGTGCTGCCCATAAAGATAGTAATGTGTTTACTATAGTATGTGTATGGACTCAGTAAAATTCTTATTCTTTTTCTAACATTTTCTCTTCAGGAACCCTTCTCCGAAGTAGATTTTACATTTCCATCTATCAAAGACGAGTTTAAACGCACTAAAACGTAGAACATACTTTAAAATGTATTAAAATGAATTGCGCATTAAAGATAATCTTTTTTTAAAAGTAGTAAAAAAAAATATTTGCTACTTTTTAAGCCTTTAATCTGTATATTAACTACAAAAGAAGTATTTTCATTTTGTTTTAAACCCTCAAAATCCCACATCTCTCATATGAGAGCCCCTACCCACTCTTTAATGCCGTTCACTGAACGAAGCAGACGCGATATTGACACAACGCAGATGCGGGTAGACGATCAACAGCGTGAAAAAGTCACCAAAAAAACGATGGACAAACAAGATGTTGTGATGTTTACAGTGAACAATTGGGTATCATCAAGGTCTGAGTCCATCATTATAATTATACTCTAGCGAAGGACAGTTTCAGCGAGACAAGAGCAGACAAAAAAAAATAGACGTGCTGATAGAAAGAAATGGCAACTCCATTAGAAAATAAACGGATAAAAAGGAATTATGCATAAAATGTTTAATGATAAAAAATCCTGATGATTTACTGCTTTTGTTTTCTCCACCCAGTGATAACGGAGCAGTTGTATCCACCCTAGGTCCAGGATGTGAAAAAAAGGGCATAGTCATGCACGAGATTCTACACATACTGGGCTTCTTCCACGAACAAAATCGACTGGACCGTGACCTTTACGTGGACATCAACGAGACCAACATTGCCAAAGCACGCGACTTCGACATTCGGAACGAGACAGAAATTGATGATTTAGGTAAGTGGCCGCCTGAACCTGATACAAAAAGGCATGCTGGGGCCCCTGAACATGTTAGAGTAGATATGATTGGCACATCGCACTAATAGGGTAGACAAGATTGGGCTCCTGAACATGATAGAGTAGATATGATTGGCACATCGCACTAATAGGGTAGACAAGATTGGGCTCCTAAACCAGGTAGTGTTTTCATGCAGATAAAACACTGGAGCGTCTGAACCTTATGTTGTTGGTTTCCAGGCAAAAAAAATAAAAAAATTACAAAAACAAATCTGGTTCCACCTGATAAGAACTGCCAAGACTGCTATCAAGCTCTTGTTCCACACCTACAGAAACACGTTACCGCTCTATGAGTTACACATGTATTGTATGAGTTACACATGTATTGTATGAGTTACACATGTATTGTATGAGTTACACATGTATTGTATGAGTTACACATGTATTGTATGAGTTACACATGTATTGTATGAGTTACACATGTATTGTCATTGACTGCACAATTCCTTCGCTTGGTGCGGGCTTTTTGTTTTATCGACTTACGTTATACTTGTGGGTATACCACTTTAAACAAAACAACAGTAGAAAGCAAAGTCACGCCATAAAGTTACATTTTGAATTTCAATTGATTACGTCAGAAGAACTTTAAAAAACCAACATATTAGTATGCGTGGCTCAGTTCAATCCATATGTTAGCTTACCTCCTTACTAGTTTTCACGCAGCAATAAGAAAGAAAAAAAACCCCTCGTGTTGTGTTACAACGCATTCTTTCTGAGCAAGAAGACTCTCCCAAACCAAACACGACAACAAGACACTAACAAGACTCTTATTGTTATTCCCCAAACCCAGGGGTGCCATACGATTTGGACTCCATAATGCACTATGGAGCTTACCACTTTGCCCAAGATTATGGCTATCCGGTGATGTCACCCAAACCAGAATACGCCCCTGGACAGAGGCTGGGCCAACGCGTGGCTCTCACCGCTCGTGACGTTCTTAAAATCCAAAGACTCTACGGGTGTCCAGAAGACACCACACACGTCCGCTCGGACCTCGACGACAAACTGATCATGTTTTGCGACTTTGCCTTTGGGACCTGCAATTTCACGCACACGAACCCAAACGATGCCGCGGACAGCGCTGAACGTACTTCCAATACAGGCCACGATGCATTAGCGGCCAAAGATCTTAAATGGACGGTAAAGCTTGGCCCCGTTGACAACGGCCCCTGGTCGGGTTATTCCAACGGAATCGACCCGTTTTTGTTTGCCGCGAAGGGCGAGGACGATGGTCAGACAGTCGCTGTAACGTCCATCACGACACCCGCACTGAACACGCAGGAAGCCGGCGGAATCTGCATCTCTTTACAGCTCTACCAACAAGGTCCGTCCAGCTTCTATTCCCTTTACATCCTGGGTCCGTCCATACCCAGACAGCCACTGCGCATCTACCAGGGTATAAGCCGTTACGGTTGGCTGAAAGACGAGGTCAAGGTCAGCCTGGTTCCGAACTTGGACTTTCAAATTGAGTTCGTCGCCACCTTGCACGAAGGATCCGTGTCTATCGACGATTTCTTTGTGTTCAAGCACGAGTGTCTCAACGTGAGTTAGACATAACGCTTCTTGTAAAGACAGCCTTGGGTTTAACGGTTGCGTGTGTGGGGGAGGGGCGGAGGTGTATCGGCAAGACCACAGCTCCTCTACACTCGGAACTTTCATGCTGAGATAAAGGCGTCCAACATCACTACACGCCCACCATCATAAACAAAGCCAGGGACCACACAACACTCCAGTATGGGCCACTAAAAAATAAATAACGCAGGCCTCCAACAGTTACAGTGGATGATGCGCATCCTCGATAGAGCAATCTCCACCGAGACGCCGTCACGGTGACTTGTGACAGACATGATGACGTTTTGACTTTCCAAAGTGGTTTTTTTTTTTCTCCAGAAAATCAAGTGCTGTAACAATAAAAAGTTAAGACTAAGATTGTAACTACAAAAGTTAAACCAAATGTTGTAACAATAAAAGCTTAAACTAAGAGTATCTCCCCCCACAAATAAATAAAAATATATCTATGTATATATATTGTTTTTTGTTACCACAAAAAACATTCATATTTCCAGTGCTTTCATTTACTAACAAAATAAAAATAAATATATGAATAGGGCGCTTAACAAATCCTAGTGGTGCATATTTGGGTGTCGCAGCAAACGCACGGATACATAAGCTAGATGAAATTGAAATGCTCGTAGTTTAAGTTATGAGTCTTATTCATGGAAAAGATCATTCTGAAAGTCAGTTGCATTCGCCTTTGGCTGCAGTATTTTAAGGGAATGCATAAGGTAAAGCGTCACAGTATGATTGCAACCCTCACACCCCCTACACCCACCCCAAATCAAATTTCAACACTGTGAACCCGAGACACAAACAGTTGAAAGTGGCTAATCTTAATATGTAAACAAAACATCTACCGCATGAAGTTCACTACTTGAAATAAAGGTGACCCCGTGACCTCTCACCACCCATGTCTAATCAAGGAATAGTGCACACGTTCAATATCGAATGATAAAACAATCACAAATGTGCCAAATCAGCAAAGGTCAATACGACATAGACCATATTGCCGTTACTGTATGTGCTTCATGCCAAACTTGCACTGAAAAAAAGAAGCAGTAAATGTGTGCTGAAGTATTACATTGAATGTGCGGTTCTCGCAGTTGGGAATGTGGCTCTTACAAAATTGGAATGTGTTTCTCACATTTGGGTATGTGGTTCCCACAGTTGGGAATGTGATTCTCACATATGGGAACTGGGGTTCTCACAGTTGGGAATGTGGTTCTCATATAATATGGCAACGCGGTTCTCACAGTTGGGAATGTGGTTCTCACATATGGGAATTGGGGTTCTCACAGTTGGGAATGTGGTTCTCACATATGGGAACTGGGGTTCTCACAGTTGGGAATGTGGTTCTCACAGTCGGGAATGTGCCGTCCTCTGCTATCGTGTGTCACGCCATGTTGATATTTAGCAGAAGAGGAGAAAGCAGTATTAACAATGAGACGCCGAACATAGCACGACTGCCACGAGTTCTGAGATGTGTTTAGCAAGAGATTTTAAAATCGTCTTTTAGCCCCTCCGCTGATCACCTAACATGCCCACTCTAATATTTCAAGTGCTCCAAATTCTACTATGTCCACCTTTTCACTCGAACGTTCTCTTATTTTAGCCAAAGTCACTGCAACACAGTCTTTTGTAACGATATGCAAAGTGAATCAACCCACACACAAAAAAAAAAACAACCTATGAGTTCAGAAAGAATTCCCTAGGCGGCTAACGCACACCCGTACATCGTTAAGACTTTTAGACTAATGGGAAGTAGGCAAATCAAAGTAACAAAAATTAACAATAAATATAAACTATGAGTTCAGAAAGAATTCCCTAGGCGGCTAACGCACACCCGTACATCGTTAAGACTTTTAGACTAATGGAAAGTAGGCAAATCAAAGTAACAAAAATTAACAATAAATATAAACTATGAGTTCAGAAAGAATTCCCTAAGCGGCTAACGCACACCCGTACATCGTTAAGACTTTTAGACTAATGGGAAGTAGGCAAATCAAAGTAACAAAAATTAACAATAAATATAAACTATGAGTTCAGAAAGAATTCCCTAAGCGGCTAACGCACACCCGTACATCGTTAAGACTTTTAGACTAATGGAAAGTAGGCAAATCAAATTGACAAAAATTAAACATAAATATAAACCACACGTAAACTCATTCCTCATAAAAACCGTTGATCCATTTTTACAATTCAACAGCAACTTACAAACCGAAGTTAGAAAACGGTTGATTCATACTGATTAAGAATATAGTTTCCATGAAAGATTTTTCAATGATATGCTAAGCATCAGACGTGGATTTCTAGATATTTTTTTATGCACAATGGTAAATCACCTAAATTCCTTTAACCTTTCAACTTCCGATATTTAAACGTGCACAACTCTGAAGTGTTTAAAATGTTGTCTTCTCAACGTGCTCGTTTTAGGAACCCCATACGACTTCCTGTCCATCATGCACTACGGCGCCTACAGCATGTGTAAGGACAAGGTCTACCCGGTGACGACCCCCAAGCCCCAGTACGCCACCGGTCTGCGGATGGGCCAGCGCCACTCCCTCAGCCAGATTGACGTTCTGAAGGTTCAGAGACTCTACGGGTGTACAGAGGACACGTCCAACGTCCGGTCGAATCTCGCGGAGTTAAACATGCTCTCGTGTGACTTCGCGTTCGGGATGTGTGACTTCGGGACGTCTGACACAGCAGAAGATCAAAACTCACCTAAAAAGGGATGGGTAGTTAGATCAGGCGCCGCAGAAGACGGACCGCAGTCGGGATTTACAAATGGACTCGACCCGTACCTGTACGCCAGCAGCGGCGACGACCCTTCCAACACGACCCACATCAGCACCATCGTGACCCCCATGCTGACGGCCCCTGATAAGTTTTGCATAACTTATTTCCTGACCCAGAGCGGGCCTTCGAGTTTTATATCCATTTACGTCTCGGGCCCAGATTTCCCTAGGACACAACTGCGTCATCTTGAGGGCATCCACGTCTCGTACTGGATGCGGGACGAAGTTCTGGTCGAGATGGCAGGTCAACAGTTCCAGGTAGAGATAAACGCACACGTCAGGGAAGGCGCTGTGGCGATAGACGATTTCTTCATACTTAGAGATAAATGTGTTGCCGTTATGGGATGACATTCTGTGAAGGCATTACGTGATCTTGTGAATCAAATGTGTTTAAAACAGTTTCATTAGTGTCCCCCACACAGGGATCACATGAACCTCCCCCCCCCCTTTTCAACCCGCATAAACGTGGATCTCATGAACCGCCCCCACACAGAGATCTATCTCATGACCCCCCCCCCCCAACATTTTTTTCCCCACACACTGTGCTAGAGAAGACCCATGTAGAAGTTTAAATGTATAATATTGTGTCCATCTTGACCTCCCTGCCCGTGCCGGAAGTTTTAAACTGTTCCTCTGATCAACAATTTTGCATCGCCCTTTTAATGATGAAAAAGTTGACGATGTTTGAAATACACGTATACATACATCTCTTGAAATATTTCCAACGAATTATTATTATATTTTTATAAAGAGCTGAAAATGTGTTTTCATTTTAAATACATCATACCGGTAATATACATATTTAAAAAGAACAATAAACAACTAAAAACAAGCCTCGTTAATGCAGATAACAATGTATATGAAATAAAAGCAGGTGATTCTTTTTTTTTTTTTTAAATATGATGTCAAATTAAAAGTCTAAACCAGACCTTTTTACTCTTACGATTTTGGCGTACAGTGTACGATTTTGAGGTGTATACAATATATATTCTGTATGTTTATTTTTTTATATTAAGATAATATATTGAACGATTTTGTGTATATGAAATAAAAGCAGGTGATTCTTTTTTTTTTTTTAAATATGATGTCAAATTAAAAGTCTAAACCAGACCTGTTTACTCTTACGATTTTGGCGTACAGTGTACGATTTTGAGGTGTATACAATATATATTCTGTATGTTTATTTTTTTATATTAAGATAATTTATTGAACGATTTTGTGATGATATTGTACGATTTCAAGAGTTTGGGGATAAACAGGTCTGGGCTAAACGCATGGATCAAATGGCAACAGCTTTCTAAGTGAGGGAAATAAAAAAATAGAGTAAAAATTACTTTAAATGTTTGTTAGTCCACCAAAAAAGAAAATACCCTTGAATTGGTGAGTTCGAACAGGGCCGGTGCTAAAACGGTTGCGGGGCCCTTGGCAAATTAAATTTAGATGGGACACTGATATCAAATACCCCTCCCAATAGAATATTAAGCGCCTCACGGTCATACTGATACTATTTCACTACGATAACGGCAGCTAAACGATTTGTTGGCGCTTTCAAATTACTACACGAAACCTAATCACAAACATGATCAATGTGAAGTGGGGAAAATATGTTTGTAATTATTGTTCAACTGGAATGTTGGACTTCTTTGTGATTCTGAAAGAGTCTGGTCGCCGCGTACAAAATAAAAAAGGGTTGACAAGGGGAAACTAATTTCCTTCACATCAAACTATCAAGACATATTTCATGAAGATTGGGCTTTGTGTTTTCTAGAAGTAGAACCCAGAATCTAATCCAGGACGAGCACGTGTGGTGGGAGAAAGTCAATAATCACAAATAAGTTAAATTCATTTATTCTGGTTTGGAAAAAAACAAACAAAAAAACATTTTTGAGAATGTATAAACACGATTCAGAGACACCACTCTACCCACTTTATAAGTCCATCGCACTGTGGACGAAACTATCAGGCAGGGCTCTTTTGAGAGTATACAAAGAACCCGCAATGATATTAGTCGGACTAAAATGTCAGTGAATGACCTTAATTGCATCCACATCGGATTGTTGAGCGTAGGCTATCGAAAAAAAACAACATGTTAAAATTTTGTGTGTGTATCCAAGCCAAGCAAGGTCGTATATTCTTTGTATGCCCACCAGAAACCAAGCCAAGCAAAGTCGTATATTCTTTGCATGCCCACCAGAAACCAAGCCAAGCAAGGTCGTATATTCTTTGCATGCCCACCAGAAACCAAGCCAAGCAAGGTCGTATATTCTTTGCATGCCCACCAGAAACCAAGCCAAGCAAGGTCGTATATTCTTTGCATGCCCACCAGAAACCAAGCCAAGCAAGGTCGTATATTCTTTGCATGCCCACCAGAAACCAAGCCAAGCAAGGTCGTATATTCTTTGCATGCCTACCAGAAACCAAGCCAAGCAAGGTCGTATATTCTTTGCATGCCCACCAGAAACCAAGCCAAGCAATGTCGTATATTCTTTGCTTTCCCACGAGAAACCAAGCCAAGCAAGGTCTTATATTCTTTGCTTTCCCACGAGAAACCAAGCCAAGCAAGGTCTTATATTCTTTGCTTTCCCACGAGAAACCAAGCCAAGCAAGGTCTTATATTCTTTGCTTTCCCACGAGAAACCAAGCCAAGCAAGGTCTTATATTCTTTGCTTTCCCACCAGAAACCAGTCCGCCTTAAGGTTGTAAAACTGATA